CCTACAGCATCCCTGCTTCAGTGCACAGAAGTCATGGTGCTTGGAAAATGAATCAGAATTGTGTAGCAAATGAGGGAATTGTCTGAAGGACTTTGGTCTCATGTGCTGCAAAAGCTGGAATGTGCATAATGTCCAAGGCAGGGGCTCACACGAACAGAAAGGAAATTTCATAGCTAAGATACCTGAATTTCCCCATGGAAAACTGGATTCTATCCCTGCCTCTTAAAACTGAATTGCTGTGATGCTAGGCAAGTCACTTCAGACAAACTCCTGGTAGTCAGCTGCCAACTTAGTTCCTCATTTTTCAGGTTGCACCACTTGTGGTCAGATTTACAGTACTAAGCACTACTGGTGCCACTGATGTCAGCAGGAGCATGGTGCTAAACAGAGTGCTACAATGATGCTAGTTACTTTGAAAAACGAAACCTTGGACACTTCTAATTAGACATGCAAAAAATCATTACTTTTGAGAAGGCTGACCTTAATCTTCTCAGTTACCTAGCTTTAAAATGGGGATAGCCTTACCTCATTTCTGAGTGGTGTTGTGAAAATAATTTATTAATGTTGGTGAAGTCCTCCCATACTATATGAGGGTGTGGGCAAATGAACTGTTAAAGCACTTTAAAATGATAATGCTTTAAAGCAGATTTGCTGCAACTGTTTCATCTGTTCACTGTAAGTAGAAGTTAAACCACTGTAATGTAAAACCTGTTTCCTTCAGGCTTAAAATAATATCAGTTTAGTAACGTGTGTACAGCAGTGCTCCATGCATGTTTTACAACACTAATTTAGAGCACTTTTTATGGCACTATAAAGTTACAGTGCTCTTAAACATAACAGAAGTGCAGTGTTGGGAGTGGGGTGGTCTCTGAGCCTCTCTGCACTTTCCAGGCTAAGAGGTACTCTGCAGTCTCCTAGGGCTTCTCCACTGGTCAGAAATTTGACCAATGTACAGAAGTTATTTAAAGCACTGTAGGTTGCTGAAGTGCTGTAAAATACAGCACTCCAAATGTAATAATACCTCATTTAATTTAAAGCACTGTTCCCATTTTTAAAGTGCTGTAAAGCCATGCACTTCTGATGTCACAGCAATAAAGCATTTTAAATAATGAAAAAAGGAACTGATGTACACACCTCAAGAAGAGAAATGAAAGTTACATCAGTTCAGCTGATGCATGCTCCCAAATAGTAAAATGGTTTTAAAATGATTTAGTGTTACATTTGTCCACAGTTTCAGTGTCATAATATAAGCTCATGAGGGCGCTAATGATTCTGTAATTACTGCAGGATTTGTATGGTGTGTAAGAGATAAGGCCTTGGGCCACACACCAAATAAGGAGACAAAAGAAATATCCACTAAGTGAACATTATCCAGACTCACCAATGAATGAGGTTGGGATACTGTGGGGGAAAATAGAACAAAATCATATAACTAAAAACTGTGATGAATGAATTTGCACAATGGAGCTGAATCAAGGTTGTAGGGACAATCTTAATTCTGGCATTTCCTAATTTCTTAATGCTTGACTTTGCTCTCCTAATATCCTTCTAATGTGACAGGTTATTTTTTTTTAATCTCAAAAACAGATTTTATCATATGGCAACATATTGATTCTTAGAGACCCCCAGGATATTTAGATAAACAGACTTACCACTGAACGTAACAAATTACTAGTAGGATTCAAAGGATTTCTTCTGTGTGGACCAATCATTACTGACAGCAAGAGACCTTGTGCTATTGGGGTTTACAGTATTTGCTAGACAGCAGAGAATCAGGAAATCCATGTTCAATTAGAGCAATTGCTCTCAACCTTTTCAGACTCAAGGCACCCCTCAGAAAAGGAGTTCAAACTAAGATCTGGCATTTTTTTGGTTACAGAAAAAAGAATAGAGTAATTCTTCTGTTGCAAAGAATTTGGAAAGACCACAACAGATCAGAAAGGTATTAACACTATGGATTCCTGTTTGAAATTTCTGGGTTTATCTTGTGAATCATGTTTTCACACTTAACAGTGCTAACATCTTGTGATGCCCTGTGGCATGCTTGAAAGTATCTGAAGGCACTGTCATGTCACACTGGTTGAGAATCAGTGAATTAGAGGTATTACAGGAAGGTATTCTCTAGAGCAGGAGTTCTTAATCCCCCGGCTGCGGCCCAGTACTGGGCCATGGCAGGTTGGCTGCCAGTCTGCAGCCAAGTCAGCTGCTGGACCGGAAGTGGCCATGGACCGGCAAACCACGGCCCACCAGAGCCCCACAGAGAGACTGTGGCTTCTTCTGCAGGGCCCACGGTAGCGCAGGGTTTGGCCTGCCCCTGCCCAGGGGCAGGGGGTATCCTTACCTATCTTCCAGCCAGAAATTCCAGCCACAGTTGGCTGTGACTGCTGGGCCATGGTTTGCCAGGCCGCAGCCACTTCCAGGCTGCGGTTTGCCGGGCCACAGTATAAAAACTTTGGAACCCCTGCTCTAGGAGGTCACATCATCTATTCCTGAATACCCAACATGTTGCTTGTCCCTCTGTTTTGCAGCACCTTTCTACATATTGCCTTACTGCACACTTGTAGCCCTACACTAGCTCTTTAAGAAGAGGGTTATTCACAAAAGTGCTACTACTAGCTTTCAAGAACAACGGATCAAGTTCCTGGCACTTCTCTCAATCTCCCCTCTCCAAGTTCCAAGCAGGTTTCTACAAGCTCTTGTCCCAGGTCCATTTTTCTATAATAATCTCTCAGCTTCAGAGATGTTGCTTTCAATCTACCCATCCTTTCTCTGCTCCTACTACTTTCTCATTCCAATCAGGCTGCCTTCTCCTCCTCTGAATTGCCTGGGTAACAGCTGGAAACAACAGAGCACTGGAAAGGTTATTTCTACCTTAAGCACTTGTTCTTCCTGTAGTGGCCTTTACCAGCCAATGCCAGTCATGCTTAGCTACTACAGCCTTCAAATAAAGCATGCTCAATCGTTGGGGACAGCAGGAACTATGTGCCTGGTGCAGCATGCTCACTGCAAACGGAATCTTTAGTATTTAGCTGAGAGCCGCAAACACTTCTACTGAGCATGCGCACAGTGGTATTTTTCAAAGTTGTTTTCAAAGGTGTGTAACTTGTCTAAATTTGTGTGGGCTTTCATGAGAGCCAAGAGTCATTGACAGTAAGATGTGATAACCTGGTGTCAAATTTCCAATTTCTACCGCAAAATATTGCTGAACCAAAGTGTGAAAAAACCTAGGAATTTCAAATGGACAAAAACAATCTCTTTTTCTTCAAGCATTGTCAAAAAGGAGCCTAAAACATTTTTGCTGAAGCTTAAAAAAGAAAAAAAGAAAAGAAAAGAAAAACAGCTTTAGGCAGATACTTAGCACAAAAAAAGGCCAACCAAGTAGTTTAAGCATGACAAAGCCACAAGCAATTGAAGGCATGGTCTTGTAAGGCAAAGTGTTAAGCAACTTGGAGTATACCTATTGGTAATAGAAACCATGTATCACGTTTCATACAGGTTGCTAATTTTGCTCTTATTCTCTTACCTGGACTAATACTCTTTTACAGAGACCAGCTTTCACTAGGGATTTTGCAACCCAGCGAGCTGCATATGCTGCCGAGCGATCAACTTTGGAAGGATCCTTCCCTGAGAATGCACCTCCTCCATGGGCTCCCCAGCCTCCGTAAGTATCAACAATGATCTTCCTGCCAGTCAGTCCAGCATCGCTCTGTAGGACAAACCATGATACACTAACTTGACAGAAAAAGGCTCTATATTTAAACTAATTCCATTACCCTGGTGAGGTACTGACTTGGGTCTATTTTGTCTTTGTCACAAATGCAATTGATGTGTTACCGTGCACCTCTTCATAGGCAATTCCTTGATGCAATCCACGTGGGATCTTATATGGACTGAGATGTACCTAGAAGCTTGTGCTTCAATAACTTTTAAAATACAGTATTGATGTGATCATGGCCCAGTTCTTTTGAAGGTTTCAATATAACCTGTTTTCTTTGTAAGTCATCTTGCACCATCCAAGAGTGATCCTAATTTTCAAACTACTGGTCACTGACCATGTCTAGTACTGATTTTTGGAAATTATGAGATTACTTAACCTCTTGAAGGCAGAGAGCAGTGGGAAATCACAACCTTCCTAAGGAAATTAACAGACTCATTGATTATATATAGCATAACATGTATCTGATGGACAAGATTATACATTGCAGAGAAATGGAGACTACACTGCTGAAGGGAACAGAGGCCTTCTTGCTCTGAGACAGAACAGGCACATTGCTCACTACTCAGCCCCCATAAGGAACTGTGATCTCCCTGGATAGAATCTGTAGCACCTCTGTGTGTTCCAGGACACAGGGCCTGCTATTCTGACCATTCCTTACATCACTTGTATGCCCAGTCAGGAGGATGTGTTTATTCATTTCTTTTTGCCTAATTGTCCTCATGTAAGGGCCTGTCACAACCTTGCACCGTGTTGATAACTGGAACACTGATGCATGGTGCATTCATCTTAATCTCAAATTGTAGATCGTTAAAGCTATCTGGATAGCTTTAACTCGGCAAGCTAGTTACTTGTAAATCTTTGTGCTTAAATTACAAGTATTTTAAAACAAATGTAAGGGCTTCAAGTTTAGAATTCTGGTAAATAATTTAGGAGCCTGTTTGTTTAATAGTTTGACTATTTTGTAATTATTAAAGTATATTTTGTCATAGATAAAATAATCCAATAATCCCCTCCATTGCAACTGCTGATTGGCCAAACTGTTATGGGATGCTAACCTCTTCACATCTTCTTAATGACAAATCATAAGCAAAAGCAAGCAAAGCCTCCTTGTAGTTCATACCTGTACTTTTTTATGGAAAAAAGTTCATTAAATTTTTGAAGGAGAGCAGTTGGAAAGACATAGTAGATCATCTCAGTTCATTTAAATTATAAACTTTTCAATAAAAATGTACCTTGGGACCACCTTCTATAAACTTTTCACTTGGAAGAAGATGGTAGATTGTGTTTTCATCAAGATACTTTGCTGGAATAACTTCTTTGATGACTTTTTCCATTAGCTCATTCCGTATTTGTTGCAAAGACACATCTGGAGCATGATGTACAGAAATCACTACTGTGTGGACACGGACTGGCTCCACTGCTCCATTGGTTTCCTTATATTCCATTGTGACCTGAAAAAATCCACAAATGGAAATGCAAATCCAGCAGCCCCTCATCAAATCCAAATGTCCAGCTTCATATTTCCTTTGTGTGGCAGAAGTAGTAGGTAAGATTAAATTAATTAGAAAAGGTACAGGATACCAGATTATCACAAATATCATGCAGATATAACTAACTGAGACACCAAAATTACCACTATGAAATGGTTTTACAGAAGGGTCACTACAAATACTTATCTGTAATTGGCTACTGAGGAGCAAAATAGCTTTAATGAAACAGCAAGCGCTTGAGATTTCAACTGGCAAGTATTAAGATCATTCACAGGTAAATTAGTGAGGTAAGAGAGTTTAAAATACTGAAGTTTCAGATAGAGCTAAATTAATCTTTGAAAGAAGTTCATTATGAACAAGGGTGGGGGGAAGGGGAAGGGGAGCATCTACACATGCTATTAATGTGCCTTAGGGATACTATGCAATAAAATAAGTTGCAGCAAGGTTTCCCAGGGAATGTGTTTACACATGTGCCATCGGGTGCAGATTTGCTCCTAATGTGAGTAGGTAGGTCCAGGCCTACTCCTGCCCTGCTCTGCCCCCCTGCAATCCTGGCTGAAGCTGCCTGGGTGGTAGATGCACTCTTTAAAAGGCTGCCCCATGCCTTGTTTCCTGGCCACATGCTTTTCTGACCTAGAGCAGTCTGCAGCCTGCTGGCACAATGCTCTAGGACACTGTCCCCAGACCTTGTGCCCAGCACACCATGGCTGCTCCACATCCCGGCCATGGCTATGACAGCCAGCACCGCAGGCTTCTGCTTGCCACTGTGGTGCAGTGCTTGCTATGCTCTGCAGCTGCAGTGACCAATAACTGCCATCTGGCTCAGGTGGGCCTCAACCGTATCTACTCCCTTGTGCCGATGGCCCTGCCTGTGGGCTACCACCCCTGAGCCATCAAATACCAGCCCCTGGGCCACCTCCCAGACCCTGGCAGGGACACCAACCCCCACACGGATGTCACCATAAGCGCTGTCCATGAGCTCCTGGGGCTCTGGCCCCACCAAATGGGCCTGCCCTGCCAGCCGGGACTTATGGCTCCACATCATCCAGTGTACGTGGGATTACAACCAGTGGCTGGACTCCTTCTGGATGACCCAAGCCATGTTTTAGGAGCTATTCCATCAGCTTGGCCCATACCTGAAGCGCCAGCCCACCACCATGCACCTCCCCGCCACCGCCCAGTGACCCAGTGACCTTCATCATCCTCAGACTCACCACACCTGCCAGCCTGCAGTATATTGGCCACCTATTCAGGGTGGGCAAGGCACCTGCTGGGGAAGCCATCCTGGAAGTCTGCAGTGCCCTCCAGGATGTGCTGGGCCACACTGCTCTGGGTCACCAACCCCCTGGAGGTGGTGGTGGGCTTCTGAGCCCTGGGCTTTCTGCAGTGCATCAGGGCCCCAGATGAGAGAGACATCCTCATCACCTGCCTGCCCCAGGGAGACTGCCCATACTACAGCTAGCAGGGCTTCCACTCGGTCATGATTCAGGCTGTGATGGACCACTGAGGCACCTTCACAAGCATTGCCACCGACTGGGCTGGCAGGGCCCACAATGCCTGGATCTTCCAGAATTCTGCCTTGCTAGCCCTGGTAGGGAGCGAGTGCATTGCGCCAGGTGTCCCAGACCTGCAGCTGGGCAATGAGCATCCCACCACCCCTCATCAGGGACCCTGCCTACCTGCTGCTGCCATGGCTCATGTGGCCTTACACTGGCCAGCTTGACCCACATCTGGCACACTTCAACAGGTGTCTGGGCCAGAGCCGTGCATTGGTGAAGTGCATCTTTGGTCGCCGGAAGGGGACGCTCCACACCCTTACCACCCACCTTGAGTTTGCCAAGGCCAATATCCCCCAGGTCATTGCTGTAATCTGTGTGTCGCATAACATCTGCAAGGCCCGGGGGGGAGCTCTTCCATGTGTGGATGTGGAAGGCATGGCAGGTGGAGGATGGCAGTGGGAGTGCCAGCTGTGGCAGCAGCAACAACACCCCGTGCCCCCCACCACCACCCGAGGTCTTGAGTAAGCCATGCACCCGGCAGTGGGGGCCAGGGCATCATGTGCATGCAGTGCTGGCAATCTCCTACTGCACCCCCTGCAGTAGGGCACCCAAGTGGCCAGCCACAGAGCCCAGGCCCACAGTGCACCCCCAACACCATGCATGCTGAGGACAGTTTCAAGCAACAGACTCCCAACTACAGACTCCCCCTCACCCTCTCTCCCCAGCACCCGACCTCACCCCTAACCCCAGCACCCACCACCATTAAAGCACCTTTCCCATGCAACTATGTACAATGTGGTGTATGACCTCTCGAGGGAGCAGGCAGGAACAGTGGGAGGTGCCTATGGGGCGGATCCCAGGGAGAGGTGACCAGCACCCCAGCCTCTGCCCACACTACCACAGGTGCAGATTCCATGGTGAGACCAGTGGGTTGGGGGCTTGGCCAGGGGTGTGGGAGGCCACTGTCCAGGCTGCTCAGCCTGTTCCTCCTCCACCAAAGGACTAGGGCTAGGAAGGCCCTCGTACAGAGCTGGCCCCACTGCAGGCAGCTTTCGCTCAGGGGCTGCATGGTGCCCAAAAGAGTGGCAGGGAGTGGCCAGGTGGGGGCCCAAGTTGCTGGGGGACCCAGCTCAGGACTAGAGGCAGGAAGCCCTGGCTGCTGCATGTGGTGCTGGACCTTGTCCCAGGCCCACTGGGGGGCTTGAGCTGGGCCATGGGCAGGTGCTAGGTGGAGCCAGGGGCTGGGCTGCACCTGGCACAAAGGTGACCAACAGGTCCAGGATGGTGTCCAGCACCCAGTGGTCCCCCTCCGTTGCCTCCATTGCCCAGGCCACCATGGCAGCCTGCCACTCCTGGGCCTCAAGCATCCTCTCAAGGAGGGCGATGTGCCTGTTCTTGAGGGTGAAGAGCCTGTCCCAGGAGGCACAGTCCTCAGTTCCTCTCCACCTCTGTTCTAAGGCTGGGGTTCACCAGGCCTGTGAGTCTGCCAGCTGCTCCTCTATCACTGTGACCAACCAGTCCAGCAGGAGCGTGTGGTCCTGTGTGCACTGTTGGTGGAGGCAGCGCATGCGGAGGTTGCTGGCAGATGGTGATGGCATCCTTGCAGGCACCTCCTCACCAGCAGCTAGTGGTACTTCCCTGAGTGCAGCTGCTGGACCTGCAGAGCAAGTACAGAGAGGCTGTTTGTGAGAGTTTGCAATATTTCATAGAAAACATGAACTGCACTGAGGAGCTGTGTGCTAGGAGCCCAGCCTCATATCAGGGGTTGTGCGTGCACAGGTACCTAGGAACCATGGTAAGTTGGCTGCGTGGGCCCTGCCACATATGGCTGTTGGCTGAGCCCTCTGTCCCCACTCCCTCTGCAGGGGCAGGTGGCCTATTTGGCACTTGCTACAGGCCACCTGTCTTCCTGATCCCCTACCCAGGCCAGGGCTGGCTCCAGCCAGCACTTGTCACAGCAGCTCCGGGCCAACTTCCCTTCTTCTCCTATGGGCCAGGCAGTTTAGTCCCATGGCACCAGACCCACACTGCCCAGGATCAGGAAGTGAGGGGCTCCTGCCCAGCTGGGACATAGAGCTGGTAAGGCTTACCATATTTCCAGGTCCAAAAAAGAGGACACCTGGGGGCGGGGCAGAGGGAATATGATGGTGGGGGGGCAGTGACATGCCAGTGCCCTGCCCATTCTGTTGCCCCTCATTGACAAGCCCCAGCCCCACCCCAGCTCTGCTGTCCCTCACTCCTGACCCACTGACCCCAGCCCTGTCAGTGGTCCTCACTCAAAAAGCAGTACCCTTCCCCCCACCTCCCTGCTGGTGCCCCTCACTCCCAACCTGCAGCTCTCTGGTGCTGCCAGTGTCCCGCACACCCAACCCACAGTTACCTGCCCCCACCCCCATGCCCCTCAATCCTGATCTGCAGCCCCATGCCCCCTCCCAGCTCTGCCAATGCCCCTCATTCTTGACCCGCAGCCTCCTACATCCCCAGCACTGCCAGTGCCACTCGTTCCGGCCCACAGCCCCCTGCCTCCTCAGCCCTGCCAGTACCCCACTCCCAACCCTCTGTGCTCCGCTCCCTGCTGCCTCAGATCGACCTCCCACTACTCCCACAAGTGGAGCAAAGCAAAATTGTAAACTCAGCTCTCAGTTGCACACACGCCACACTAGGCATTCTGGAAATTGTAGTTCTACCTAGCAGCAACTATACTGAAACAGACCCAGGGAGGAAATCCCAGACATTTTGCCTGTGTTTAAAAAACCCACCCAGACAAAGTACAGGGGGCCAAAAAAGAAGGCATGTCCAGGAAAGCATGGACGTATGGTAACCCTAATGCCCCTGCCTTCCTCCAGCGGCTTTCTCCAGAGAGGCAACCTGGGCCAAGGCCCCTGCCTTGTGTGGCCTGTATCCCAGGTGTGCTCCAGCTGAGAGTACCCTGGGCGTGCTGCAATGAGTTGTTTGAGTGGATTAAGGGGTGCCCAACCCACTATGCCCTACTGCTGCTGACCACCATGGTGTCTAGCTTGAGGTCCTGAGCTCTGACACTGTCCCAGGCCATCTCACACTTCCCCTCAACATGCATTGCTGCTTGGAGGGGTATCTCTGCCTATACTACAGGTGCCTGACCCCTGTGACCGGGGACATTTCTGCTGTCATTGATGAGCTTCTCTGTATGTGACAAGTCCCTGGCTGCCTAGCTAGGGGGAGGGGGCACTGGTCATTCAAAGTTCTGCTCTGCTTCCCACCTCCCTGCATGTTGTGGGGGGAACTGCAGTGGGGAGCTTGCCCAGGCAGGGGAAGGGAGGGCCCCTGGCTTCAGGCACGCAGCTTGGAGTGGGGTGGTGTGCAGGTGAGCTGGTGCAGGCACAGGTGGCTTCAGTACCCCCTTTCCCCCCAGCCTGTATCCCAGTGCAAGGCTTACCGAATGGCTGTGGCAGGCAGCCCTCATGGTCGCACTCTGTCCCTGCCAGCAGCAAGGTGATACAGCTGCTTGCAGTGTCCTGGGGTGTAAAAGCACAGCGTCTTGCTGCCCATACAGTGGGCCTCTCTGGGGAGGAGCTGGAGCTGCTCAGTGCTGGAGTCATCCCCAATTTGTCCTCCATGCTGGGGGTGCAAGTCCAGAGTTGGTGGGGCATGTGTTGGCCTGGACTCCCTAAGCTGTCAGATGAGGCCTGGGGCAGGGAGCATACCAGGACCTGCAGCTGGTGCCCCAAGGGGCCCTCCCATGGAGACTGCTCATCACTGCTGGGCCCTGGCAGAGGCTCCAGCAAGCCACCTGTACTCGAGTAGACATTGCAGTCAGGATACAATCCAGCTGCCACATGAAGGGTATAGTCCTGCAGGCAGCCCCAGACCACTGGTTGCGGTCTGTGATGCAGGTCCACTGGGCCCACAGGACTTTGACCTAAATGTGGCATTGCCGCCCAGATCGCTGGTGGCCGCATTCCTG